ATAAAACTATTCATCGGTACCATAGCTGCAATCTGCTATCAGCACGCGACCTGCCCTTGTGCAGTTTGTAAGTAATGACGTAGTTCCTTAACCAGAACAGAGTCGATAACGATCAGACGCAGACCTACTAGAGGCCAATTCCCCGAACTTCTTCCTTTAATTTGACTCCTAGTTATGCGGCATGTTACCGCCGTAGTCCGCCGGGATTGCACACGCGTTACACCTCCACCTAGCGTAATCCGCTTGGGCGACCATGATCTCGCCAGAGCTCACCACCTTACTTCCTGTCTGAATCTCTAAACCCGTCCGAGGCGAAGCTGATCATCCTTTTCCCTGTGGAAACATAGTGTTAACTCGAGCAGGTATGTTTTCCCAAACGCCGAAAGATCTGATGAAGACAAGGGTTCTTAGATGCAGCTCAGGATCCTGTGAAGTTTCTAAGCATAGCGAAACTGTACAGACCTAGACCGTAGTGAGGGCTTTCTCTTACATAGAGGTCTTCTCTGCGCGGACAAGCACATCACGGCGGCATACATTGCATGAGATATGATGAACGCGAACGTGTTACAATTCTAGAGAAGGATATGTGAGAGTATGACTTAGTATCACACCAGTAGCATACTGGACGCTCGAGTAGGGTGTCGTGTGAGACGATGGATGCAGGATAAGTCTCGCGCCTATTGAATCCAGCAGTAGATCCTCAGGAATATTCCCGTGACGAATATCTTTTCCCACCATATTCGATCAAGCGCCTTACTAAATCGATTCTATGTTGTCGGCGCGGAATTGCCGGAACTGGCTGCGCTATCCACCTGGGCCTTCCATGCGAGCTCTCCAATATCAACAGTCTGACGCAGATTCTTAAAACATTGTTGCAACGATTCCGCGATGGCAGGCGTGAGGTGTGGTGGTACTATTTCTAGGTATTTGGAACTCAGATCGAAGAGATTTTCGAGGAATTCCGCATGATGTTGCAACGACATCTCGTAGTCTGATTGGCGAGCTCCTGTTGGGTGAGTTACTTGGTCTTCCATCTCTTCTTGCGCTATGGGAACTGGCTTGCCATCAGCTGATGACCCAACAGCCGTCTTGAATCGCTCAGCATCTTTTTCACCGAGCACACTTTTGAACTCCTCCTCCGTCAACCACTCGAATGATTCTTCATCTCTGAAACGATAGACGAAGAGCGATTTACTTCGACTATAAGTCAAGACCGTACCATGTAGTATGTCACCATAGCCAGCATTTTTCAGGTGAATCGTGTATTCAGGAGGAGTGAAGCTGGGAACTCCTTTGGAAATGCGGATTTCCTCAGGCGTGCACGTCTTCTTCGATACGACCCTATATTTGTCCTGGTCTTTTACTAGCCTCCATCCATGCGTTCTAGCGAGTATACGTGGATGGGTAGAGCCTCGTTCGGTCGAAGTTTCTGCAGCGGCACTCGACCCCCTGTTGGTTTTTACGTTCACTCTAGGCATGATAGATTTTAATGAGACAAGGGATATTGAAGAGAGGGCTTGTTTTGCCTATACGAGCTGCGTCGAAGCTCTTATAATGACGCGAAACTCGAGGATGTCTTTGCAATTTGCACCATCAGCATTGCTCTCATAAGCAACATCTGTAGGTCAGACATATTCAGTCTAGAATATGCTTACTCCATGTAGCCACAGCGGCGTGTCACAACTAGGTGCAGGTTACGGCTGTCGCACTAACATGGCAGCTGGTGGACTAGACTCGCCTTCATAATTGTGTGGTAGGCACATCGAGTGCACGATACGACACAAGCTGAGAATGGTCTGACGCAGCGCTGAACCACGTAATTATGCTTAGCCCCATGCTACGATGTATCCGTAACTCTATCACGTGTCTGAATTCCGAGTGTGTACTATGCGATGGAACTGATGCACAAGCTACTCCTGTCCTTTGATCTGTTCAAAGTAACGGCCGAAAAGGGTTTATTCCACTCCTCACCGCTATAGCCCATAGCGACATCACTTCACAAGGTCGAAAGTTTGGCCCCTCCACCTACACCTTCGATCTCCGTTTGGCAGGCTCCACCCATACAGTATACTGCAACCCAAGTCGCCTCATACTAGCTGTGCGTTTTGCTTATCTGAGCTTGAGTGTCGTAATGTTGCCCTTCGAGTGCGTGCGTCAGCATGAGGAGGTGCAAACTTGGACGGTCTACGATATAACGCTGATAGAAAAGACCAACACCTCGTTCGGTGACAAGCTAATCAATGCGAAGAAAAGAAGCACCAACGAGAATCTGTAGCGCAGGGCTTACCGTAGAGAACAATGACACAAGTTTAAAGACGCACCGGTGACACCGCGTTTTCCTCGAGACCCTGTGCTATACCCTTGTAAGCAGTGAAAGTTGGCACTTCTCACATGCCACAGTCTTCACCACAAGATCTATATGCTTCCCCGTCGCGACTACCCGGAATGTCCTAGACTCTGTCATTACCCTTGAGCGAGAGTCTTTTGACGTGTGTGCGGAAGTGGATGCCTCCACGAACTAGAAAGTGCGAGTACCGGAGGGTGCAGATGGAAGCAGCGGCATATTGTCTCCTAATCTGCTTCTGGCCACCCCGCGATGGACATGTCAGCATAATCCAAGCATCGTCACGCATTTGAGTAATCGCGCTGACTGAGCGCGACATGCGAATATCATAAGCAAGAAGGCTGGACATATATCATACATGAGGGTCCCTGACTGGGACTCGACCTTGGCTTCCAGCATTTTCCCTCGAAAATGCGGTATCAAGCACTTGCTACACTCTTTGTGCTGACAGCCAACTGGGCCAATGCCCACTCATGGGTCGAACAACTCGTCAACATTGCCCCTAATGGCTCGTATGTGGCTAGCTTTGGCTATCCGCGAGGGTTTGTGGACAAGACTGCCGACGGTAGCTTCGACCAGGAGGCCAACGAATGGCTCCTACCGCCGGCACGCACCCCGCCCTTCATAAACGAAGCAGACCTTCTTTGCCACCCGTCTCAACGAGTCCCCAACCAGGCAGGCAGTTTTTCTCGTCTGCAGTCCAGTCCGGGCACCGTGATTGCGATACGTTATGCTGAGAATGGTCACGTCACCGTACCGGGCGGTGGAATCGGTCTCGTGGGGAAGCCAGAGAAGGGCGGTACGGTGTTTGTATTTGGCACAAAGCAGCCACGTCCTGATGAGACTCTTCAGAATGTATTGCATTGGACGCGTGATGGCAAGGGAGGTGATCGACGTGGCAGACTACTGACCGCCCAGAACTTTGACGATGACAGGTGCTACCAGCTTAGGGCTGACCGTACAGCGTTGGGCGAAGCCCGTCGGTTGCAGACACCAAATCCACGCCCTGAACAGCCCGGCTCAGACCACGAATTGCTCTGCGAGACGAACGTGAGACTGCCGGATGATGTCACCGTCGGGCAGCCCTACACCCTCTATTGGGTGTGGCAATGGCCCACAGCACCTCAGCCAGATCCAAGTCTTTCCAATGGGCAGGACGAGTACTACACATCGTGCATCGATGTGGACGTTGTCCCTGACTTGCCGCTGGGCCAAAGTGGCACCGTGCTCCACGACCAAGATCCTATGACCACAGCCGTGTCAAACTTCGAGTCTCGCACTGCGCTGACGGTCGACCCGCTAGCATTGTCTTCACAGGCGGGCTTTGGGCGACCCACTGGGACCAGCGGTCAACCTCCTGCTGTCGACCAGGCTGTCACAGCCTTGCATCCTAGACGATCGTCTACATAGCTTTTGCGTTCTCGCCCTTGCGCTGACCGTTATCTCACCCCAGGGTGAGCATGAATTGCGATAGGATTCAGTTTGATGGCAATAGTAGCCGCTGCACCAGCAGGAAGACAGAAATCAAGTAGTTCAGCGTTTCCATAGCAAACAGCATTGCTAATGCAAAACCACACTTTCGTTTCTCCCAACTATTTTCTTTGAATCGGAGGCTACTCACCTTACTCTATTACTTACACTTCTGAATGGGATGTACGCTCGGCTGAACCAACAAGGTCGACGAAATTCTAATGGGATGAGATTCTGTAGGTGTCGTTGCTGGTAGGCAGCCCATCAAAACCTAGAGTGAGCTCGCAATCGGCATAGATAGTGGACTGCAGTGAATGACATGGATACTTTCTCCAAGTGCTCCATCCAGCTCCATCCAGCTCCAATTACTCCATGGATATCCATGGAGTAAATGGATCTTGGCGGATGGAACTCCATTCCATCCATGTCATTCACTAGTGGACTGAACTTCAGCATCCGACCGAGAACCGCCTCTAAGTTGATAATTACTGTGATGGGCTGGCAGATGCAAGTCTCTGCTCAACTACAGACGTTTCAGACTCATTGAGGCGCACAAAATCTATAATAAGTTGATCTGGCTTTTTCTGTCCCATCTCCAATTCACCACGCCGAGCGCACTGCAGCATACATGGGCATTATAGAGTAGAGTAGAATAGACCCTAATTCTACTCTGCACTGTAGAATAGACACTGATTCTATTCTACCCTGTAGAGTGTGTAGAACGCTCTATCTGATTAGTAATCGCACTAGTTCTAGTGAGGGGGAGGGGGAGAGAATAACATCGTGTCGCACGGTTGGGTGCGGGTATTGTGGACAGAATAATTAGGAGAGAGAGTGTATGTGTTGTATTGTTCTAGCATCATAGCTCAGCTTATATGGAGGTCATCGCACGGCGTTATTAGTAATAAGGTTCATGTTCCCGACAGCGCTTGGCCTGCGACACATTGTGATCGCTCTACTATTGAAAACACGACATTCTTAATACATACAGGGTCTTATCTGTGTCTCTAATTGGTATCCCTCCTCCGTGTCCCTTGTTGATGTTCTTTATCTCCTATCTGTGTCCTCTAAACCCGATTCATCCTTATACTTATCCTTATCCTCCTCTGTATCCGTGTCCGTCTCTATCTCTTTGTTTATTGCTGTAGGCACTGTGAAAATGTCCTGAATACTGACAAGCTTATTCCTTAGCTAGTTGCCCGTACATTCTAATCTCTTAAGGTTCTTTGCGGATAGCTGGTTGGTTGGTTGGTTGGTTGGTTGATTCCTACACGGTTTCAGCCGCGAAGCCCGCAGCTATGCCCGGTTGACAGGTGTGGCAGACAGCCGACGCGGTGCAGACCTTGATCCGCACCGCCCCACTTCACTCTCGAAAGAGCCATCTGTCCCCAGAGGCCTGCCGTATCTGGCTTCTATCTACGACTATGTACATTTCGTCTCTAGAAGTGACGTGTTTGCCTGTGTTTGTGTTCCTCAAACTGTCTTCCTGTGTGTATGCCGTACTCGAAGCCTCATGTGTGTAACGTTGTTTCAAGGCTCGTAGAGGCACGGTTGCCTCATGCTTTGCGACCGCAATACCTTCAGTCTCCCCCTAGCGTTCAGCTGTCGTGTATGCTAGCTTGCCCCGATACCCCCAGGGCCTGGAATATGTTCCCCAATCTCCGATGTTCTCCAAGTGTTATGATGCCGTCCACTAGGTTCCTATGCGGCTGTGTGTTGTGGTGTGACCTGCCATCGGGCGCGGTGGCAGCAGCATTTCGTCATAACGCGGCTCCACAAGGGCAATGCTCCGCTCGTGCGTGCCGTCGAGCCTACTGAACATGAGAGCTCCCACGCGAATCTCCTCAGACCTAGTCGAGTGTGTCGAAGGGGCACCACTCCCTCAACACGTAGGGCGACAGTGGACGAGGCTGTCTGATGATCTGTAAGTGTATTGTGGCACCGATGGTAGCGTGCCGGATGTCTGTGAGTTGATTCGCGTGAAAGGTGATGCTGTTCAGCCCGAGGGCTCGTCGATGCGGGACGTTACAGACATTGTCGGTTGGTGATAGGCTGACCAGGAAGCCCATCAGTGACTGCTGTGTTGTTGCTGTTGCGCTCAAAAAGTGTCTGGGCTCCGTCGTCGCGTCTTGCATTGCTGTGTCGTGGCTAGATGGCTGCCGCTGCGTTTGGTGGACGTGTCATGTTAAGTAGCTTGCTCGCAGATTTTGCTCGTCTGTGTCTGCCAGGGCCGCAATAGCGACTCTACAGGTGCCAAACCGACGCGGGGGGACGCGTGATGACCTGTAGAGACTATTGCGGCCGCTGGCAGACGTTGTTGAGGCTGTTGTGATAGCTAATTCCAAAAATTGATTTCTCGCTGTTTGTCGTGTTTTTCCTTTGCGGATAGCTGTAGCCTGTTAAATGACTGGGTACGACTAGGCTGGCGAAAAACCCCTGTTTTGGATCTGACGTAAGCAGAACACTAAAACATTTGTAGCTACGCATTAAAGCGAGCTCTTGATTAAATCTTTTAAAAATTTAATATACTATACCTATAGCTAACATTTATCTCTAGAAGGATTTCTAGCTAGATATCTCAACTACTTGCTTTCATGCGCGGCTACAAAGATTTTGGTGTCCTGCTTACGTCAGACCCTAAACAGGGGTTTTTCGCCAGCCTAG